TATTCCAACCCGTATTCTACAGTTTCAGAATTAGTTAAATTAATAATATATCTGTTAAAGTTTAGAATTTCTAATATTTGGATTAATCACTTATTCTGTCCATAAAGCAAACCATTTTGAAAGTTTAGACCATTACTTTCCCCAACTTTCGTTTCTGTATAACAGTAGTAATTGGGGACAAAAATGCCAGTTAGGTGTTGAATATCTGATCGAAAATGCCTTAGAAATAGTACGACTAGACCTCAAAAACCAAATTTTTAACAGTTATACGTTCTGAATTTTGAGTAAGATGCCACTGACTCGAAAAACACCCAACTATAGGAGAGAGAGGGTTTCAAGCAGTGAAATTAAAAATAATTCAAATGAAATGAAAATGATTAATAACATGACATAACATTTTGAACGTGTATGGAAGTTGCAAACAAAATGTGTGTTATGTGCTATAGCATGAAATATTTTCTAAATTACAGGCGTGTCGTGGATTGGTCATCTCGGTCATAAACCATCGTGTTTCACTAGGTTTTATCACATACATTTACCGTAGCTTCAAAACACATTGTTTATCAATAAACAAATAATTTTATTCACAAAAATAGGAATTAAACAGATAAGATTATATCGATTTGTTAGAAAGAACACAGTATTTCAGTTTTAAAAAAGACATGTTATTAGAATAACAGCACAAGACTGTTTAAAGTAATATTCCGTTCTTCAACACAAAACCCCAACTTAAGATACCATAAACAGAACAATATAAACATTAGAATCAATCAAATTCATCGGTATATGCATAAGTTTATATAAAATCAATTAAATATATCGGTATATGCGTAAATGTATCTCACGATCAGCTTTTATAAATTATATATATACTGGAATACTGTAATAACTTCACTTTTTAGGTTGAATGTGACTACTTTAATATTTTTGCAAGATCCAGATTTTCCTAACGTAAGCTGTACACTGAAGGACAGTTTTGATATTTTGTAAATCGGTCTACGATAGGTCAAGAAACGCATATTCTTACCAATCAACAAATGAAATTTGTTAATGACTGTATGTACATTTCTTCTCATCTAAAATAATCATTTTGTGTATCCTATTGAATACAGTGTACATATTTACGTACTTGTCACGTGCAGAATTATAACTATGAGAACTGGTACTACAAAAATCACGTAGGATTGAATACAATAAGAAACCTACTAATTTCAAACACTTTTGGGAGACATAACTTCCTTCTTCAAAGATGGATTGGGATTAAACAGGAAGTGTAAAGTTTGAAAGTTTCTCAGTAACGGTCCATCAGTCGAAAATGCTAGTTTTTTGTGTGATTTTTCTTAATGTCATGACAACCAAGTAGTCGGCTATTAATGGGAATGTTGCAAGTGTGACAGCATTTTTGACTGTATGAAGGGACGGGAAATATGGCGCTGTGAGATACACAATAATTGGTAAAGAATATACGGGATTCGAGGAGAAGAATGAAAAGAAATATTTAAAAAGAAAAAAAACACGGGTTGTACGTGTGGTAGAGCTTTCGATTTAGGAGCTGGCGAGCCTGGTTCGAATCATTGTGATACAACAAAATATTGTGTGTGTGTATGTGTGTGTTTGTGTTTTTCTTATAGCAAAGCCACATCGAGCTATCTACTGTGTCTACGGAGAGGAATCGAATCCCTAATTTCAGCGTTGTAAATCCGACTTACCGCTGTCGCAGCGAGGGACAAACAAAATATTTCCAGTACTTTAAGCTATGGGTGTGTTATAAGAGTCACAGTCAATTTCTTAGCATTATTGGTTGGGTTAGGTGCTACTGATTAGCTGCTTTCCTTCTGGTAAGTAGTTAAAAATTAGGCAAATAGCCGTAGTAGCTTTTTAATAAGTAGAAAAATAAAATTAAAAGGGAAATTGCAAATGTAATCTAGCAAACTAAAACTGATACAAAGTACGTAAGTTAAAGAAAATAGAACACAGAGTTAAAGAAAATAATGAAAAATTAAATATCAAACAAAAATTGCAATATAAAAAGATAATAATAATAAATGGTATAAGATTAAGATAAAATCAATAGCATAAAGATATTAAGTAATAGCTTAAATAAAACAGATATTGAAACAAACATCTCTCAGGCAAAAAATAAAAGTCTGTGCAGGATCATTTCAAAACATGCTTTATATCACTGTCTGTTTTAAAGACTTCTTATAAACACTGACGCACACAAGAAAATTAAATTACCATAACACAGTCACTAAAAAAAAGTTGCCACCCTACCAATAATGAACACCATATGACCTAAAATTCTATTTAAAAAAAACAAAGAAAGAAACATATTAAAACAGACTATGACACAAATAAGTTATTTATACCTTATATTCATATTCTTACTGCAAAGGTGATACCCCTCCACGAAAAACTACTTTCAAACGGTCCACTATTAAAGAATCAAACATAATTTATTTGCCGTTATCTTTCTCTTTAAAACTCCTGAACATCTCACATACCCCGCTCGTCCTGAATTCAACCTTGAAGAATTATTTTCCGAAAAAGTCGGGTTACTAAGTTACTCTTGTGTATATGAAATATGTATGATCATAATTCAACCAGTGATATTTTACAGTGTATGCATATACTGATTCAAGGTGTGCACTCCATCATGAGATCATAATAAGTTAAAATCCTCATGAAGTCGAAAATAAACATATTCGAATGTACTACTCTGCTTGCTAGGAAGAAACTTTAGCCAACTGAGCTAACGCGTCTCCAACACTTCTAAATCACACTTATATTACTTTTATAAGTGATTGAAGGCGTGATTATCAAACTATTAGCAATTCGTAATTAACAATTCTTAGCTAACCAACTATTTTACTGATTAAACTATTGATATTATACTAGTTTATTGATTAAACTCTTGACAGCACTTCAGTTTACTGATTAAACTGTTTACATTACAATTGTGCAGTAATTAAACTGTTTACATTACAATTGTGTAGTGATTAAACTGTTTACGTTACAATTGTATACTGATTAAACTCTTGACATCACTTCAGTTTACTGATTAAATTGTTTACATTACAATTGTGTAGTGATTAAACTGTTTACATTACAATTGTGTAGTGATTAAACTGTTTACGTTACAATTGTATACTGATTAAACTCTTGACATCACACCAGTTTACTGGGAAAACTCTTAACTATCCTACTAGTATTCTGAAAAACTCTTGACATCACACCAGTTTATTGATTAAATTGTTTACGTTACAATTGTGTACTGATTAAACTCTTGACATCACACCAGTTTACTGGGAAAACTCTTAACTATCCTACTAGTATTCTGAAAAACTCTTGACATCACACCAGTTTACTGATTAAACTGTTTACGTTACAATTGTGTACTGATTAAACTCTTGACATCACACCAGTTTACTGGGAAAACTCTTAACTATCCTACTAGTATTCTGAAAAACTCTTGACATCACACCAGTTTACTGGTTAAATTGTTTACGTTACAATTGTGTACTGATTAAACTCTTGACATCACACCAGTTTACTGGGAAAACTCTTAAATATCCTACTAGTATTCTGAAAATCTCTTTAATATCACAACAGTATACTGGAAAAACGCTTGACATTCCCAGTAGTATACTGATGAAAGTCTTGGCTATCACATTAGTACAGTGGTGAAACTCTTGGCTATCATCTAGTATAGTAGAAAAACTCTTAACTATCTTATTTAAAACCTGGAAAAAACGTATACTGGAGAAACGCTTGGATATCTCTCCAGTGTACAGGAGGACCTCTTGGCTTTCACATTAATATACTGGACAAACGTTTCACTATGTCACTAGTTTATGGATTAAACTATTGACTGTCAAATAAATATACTGGTAAAACTCTTGGCTATATCTCTGGTTACATTTATTCTTTCTTATATACTTTTGGCCGTCTCTCTAATATATTTGAGAGACATTTGGCTAGCTGATTTATACATAAAATTTATTTTTCAACTAATATTTACAGCTTTCTTTATACATATAGTTTGTTTTGACATACAAGTATTGGTATAGTAATAACTTACATGTGTAGCATTCCCTCTTGCCTGCCAAACGAATAATTTTGAAATATATATGTTATGGCTTTCGATTATATTGTTCTTACAATAGTATTATATTACCTAAGAATGAAAAGTTTTAAAAATCAAATTTATTTTCCCCAAGTTAAATAAGACGCAGCTTCAGCACCAGGTTTATCCTCCAAACTAGGAAATTTGTGTTTTTATTATGCATCATTAAGTTAACAGCATTGTTTGTGTGTTTGTTTTAATTACAAGTCTGCATAATGTGTTACCCGAGCTGTGCTTACCACAGGAATCAAACCCCTTATTTGAAGTTATAAGCCCCAAAGCTTACCGCTGAACTACCGGGGAGTAGGTATCAACGTAGCCTGTATCTTAAGTAATATCTTTTTCAGTATTCAATGAAATCCTTGGAAAAGTACCTCATTTTTCGAATCAGTTTTCATTTACATAATTGAACATGTTATATGAATCTTATTTACCTAACAATTACTAGCTACATCGAGGTAATACTTGTCAACTCAGAAACCTCAGAATAAATTAATATTTAATCTTGCTACTTCATCAGAGACAACGTATTGCTTATTTGCGAGAAAATCAAAGCCATTTAAGTAAGAAATGCATGTTTAACATTAATACTGAAAACAAAACTTCGCAGTATTTAAGATCACTCAACGTTATATTTCAAGTTTCAAGATACAATACTAAATCTCAAAAGAGTAGTTCCACACATCATATTGGTCTGATATATATAACTTCTAAACAGCTATTAACTAAATTATAAAACTACGAAGGTTCAATGTTTTGTGTCCCTCTTGATTAAAAGTGTACTTTTTGTAAGGGTTTCGATGATGTAGGAATAATAATGTACAATGAGTGTCCAATTAGAGCCAAAATGAGCATCCTCTAGTTAAAAAAAAGTTTACTTCTTGAAGGGATAACCGCCTTGAATTGGATCTTCTTGCCAGAAACGGAGATCAATTGATGGGATATCCTCACAGCGCATGCGGGGATTGCTGAAAAAGTAATATTTCGATTTTACAGCCTTTTTAAAAACTTTATAAAAGCTTAACAAAAACAAATATATTGTAACACTTCTTCAATCTAAATTCAACGGTCGGTGTTGTATATCTAGGTGTAGTGCTGAAACGGCTTTAAGATATTTCATCAAACTCACTTTCAAAGAAACACAATAGCGCCTTATTGTTTAGGTTTATCATTACATAAAATATCAGCCATAAAAAATATTTCCTATAACTAAGGTCTTTTTGTTACCATTAGTCAACTGTTAAATCAAAACTTTAACAAACTTGATTGTAGAAACCCAAAAAGAAGCTAAGTATAATAATAAGTAAGAATGGAAAAGTTACTCACTTTAAAAGGGTGAGAGAGAGCGTTATAACAAATAATTAGAAATAAAAAAAGAATACGGAAAATAATGCTCATTAAATGGCGATAAAGTTTCAAGGGAAAATAATAAAGAGCAATAAAACTACTCAACAAAAAACAGAAAAGAAAGATGAAATGTACTTACTAGATGGGGTGAGAGAGTCTCATGACGTAAAGCTGGATGGTTGGCAAATCATCAGCATTCTCACAGAGAATTTTGGCCTGGTTCGACTTTCTAATTTCTTGAAGCTGTTCTGCAATAAAAAGCTTTGATGTAATCAGAACGATTACGAAAAGTTAGGCTCACTTAAGTAGTTGGCTAACTGGTGAAGAATCAGGTAAATCACGTAACAATCAAATAACATTATGTGATTGGTTAACATGTAAAGGATCACGTAAACCAGTTTGTTAATCATACACGTTTAACCGACATTGTGTAGTTAATTAGCAAGTGAAGAATCTGGTAAACCGGTTCTTTAACCATACACACTTAACTGATATTAAGTAGTTGGTTAACATGCGAAGGATCAGGTAAATTGGATTTTTAACCAAGTAACATTATGTGGTTGGTCAACATATGAAGGAACAGTTAAACCAGTTTGTTAATCATACACACTTAACTGATACTAAGTAGATGGTTAACGTGTGAATGATCAGGTAAACCAGTTTCTTAATCAATTAACACTGTGTAGTTGGTTAACATATGAGGGATCAGATAAACTAGTTTGTTAATCATACACACTTACTTAATATTAATTAGTTGGTTAACGGGTGAAGGATCAGGTAAACCGGTTTTTAATCATACATGTTTAAGCGACATTGTGTAGTTCATTAACATGCGAATAATCAGGTAAACCAGTTTGTTAATCACGTAGCAACCCTGAGTTTAATTATTACGTGACAGTTCACAGTGTTCAACTTTTGATGAGATGGTTATTTGACAAACATCTTGCTTTATAGCAATACACTTGCTCTCCTCCACTACTTTACATGTTCTGCACTGACATTTAAATTATACATAACTCTCGTGTATCAACCACAGTTTAAAACGTAGAAGGTGTTTGGTAGTGCCACGACTCGAACCAGGGACTTTCGGATCCCCAGTTCAATACGCTAACCACTAAGCCACGTATGGGAAGTGAATATAATTACTAAAACGTGTTATTTTGAGCAAATCATACTGTAGAAATTACCTAGAGTAAAGGCAGACGGAAAACCCGAGTTTTCGTACCAAAAACGATCTCCTTTTTTAGCATTTGTGAACTGACGAGCTATAATACAGGCGAAGGTGGGTCCAATTAAACTTCCCTGTAGACGGCGCTCTGAGATTCCACCACTCCAAAGATCAATATCGTCTGGATGTCTGAATAGAAATAATACCAAGTGAAACACGCAGGAAAATATTTTTATAATGCAAGTGATTAGCGTGAAATAGAAGCTCCAAAGAGTTTCATTTCTAACATCTCTGCAACCGAATGTGAAATAATAAATTCTGTCAGGGAAAAGGTGAAGAGTTTTTCAATATCATACTGTATTTGTCATCTTAAGGGATTTTTTAATGAAGTATCAGACACTTTTTAGGTAATTCGAAAACATTTGAAATTCTGTATATGTCTTTAAAAGATATAAATGCAAAACCAAAACCAAAATAACTTACCTGCTGCGTTATGTTTACAAGAAACGATTCCAAAGCTAATACTCAGGTGTACAATAACTGTAAATATCTCTTTAAATTTTTATTTAAAGTAAAACTTTTTTTTTGTTTTTCATTTGTAAGGTGTTTTAGTCTTCGAAGATCAAACACCTTTGTATTTTATTGTGAGCGCAAAATCTGAATTAGTTTTTAGAGATTAAATAAATGTGATAATCAGAAGAGGTGGTGATGCAATCAGCATCGAGTAAGCTGAAAAAAGTGTGGCTACATTTTTTAATAATGATAGAAAAACAAATAGTATGAAATAATTTTTAAAAATTAGAATTCTTATGGATAGGAGGAAAACACACTGGAGAATAACAATTATATTATATCAAAGTGAAAGCTGGTTCTGATATATATACTTGAAACACCCACTTACTTGTATCAAAGTGAGGGCTGGTTCTGATATATACTTGAAACACCCACTTACTTGTATCAAAGTGAGGGCTGGTTCTGATATATACTTGCAACACCC